AACGCAGAGTAGGTTAAGAGAGTATAATGTTCTGAAAATGTTTTTAGAGAAAATGGGGAACAAATTTTATACTTAAAAAAACTTTGCCCAGAAGAACAGGCCCATTAAATAACTTCTTAGGAGAAACTTCACTTATCGTCAACAACGAACATCTGAAATACAAGTTAAAAAAAATCAAATTCAAATGAATTTCCTTATATAGCTATTGTTGAAAATAACCATTTCCACATATTTACCACTTCTGATATTTTCCCTTGAAAAGAATACAAAAACATAAAAGTCATTTAACTAGCCGACCTAACAAAGGACAGGGCAACAAGCAGCTTGAGAATGGGCACTGGGAAACATAAGGATGCCAGTTAAACGACTTCTGAAACTACTTTGTAGAGTATTTCTGAGAAGCTCAGTTTCTCATTATATTCTCTCTCCCTTAAAGTTTACCATTTCAGAATTTAAAATGGACTCTTGTTATAAATATACATCTGATTTTGTGGTTAAGGAATAAATAAAATATTTTGGAATGCACCTCTATGGTAATCATTTAATTGAGAGAACTACAAATTAGATTTGCATCAAGAATGCCTGGCATGTGAGGATGCTGGGATCTACCCAATGCAGGAATCTAGACACGCACGGCATCAGTAAGCACGCTTCTCCAGCGCTAGTGTCGCAGAAGGGAGCAGGGATCGAAAGTCAGGCTGCACTTTAATAGATGGGCGATTTTTGAGTAAGTTATAACCTTAACCCATTATCTAGAAAATATGGATACCCTGGCCAGTACCACAGATGTTCAGAGCATCGTCCTGACACATCAAGGTTGCATGTTCAATCCCCAGTCAGGGCACACACAAGAATCAACCAATGATTGCATTAATATGTGGAACAACAAATCCATGTTCTCTCTCTCTCTCTCTCTCCCCCCCTTCCTCTCTCCCTAAAATCAATAAATAAAAATTAAATAAAAGAAAATATGGAAAATGTTTTTTTATGCCTGATGTGTAGCTATTAGGTTATGTTGTTATTTCTTATTACATGTATCATCTCAGTAAAATCTAACAGGAATCTTCTGAGCTGGGTGTTATTTTTTCCATTTTGTAGCTGAGGAAATCAAGACTAAGGGGCTGAGCAACCAGTTCACAAACACTAGAGGTAGAATTCGAACCCAAGTCTTTCAGACTCGCAAGCTCATGTTCAGAAGCAGAATGCTAACTATGCCCTTTTCACCACAGGATTTTTATATGTCCAAGAGAAGCATATTTGCTGCTTAACTTCCAACATCTAGATAATTTAATGTACAGCATAGTCATACTTAGTAGAAGGAAAACATAGATACTCAATTACAAAAAACTTCAAAAATGTAAATTTTCATTGATTAGAACTTACTTAAAATCAGAGCAAAAACACTCAGCCTGCTTCTGTGGCAACAGCACATATATTTTATATCTACATACTTAGAATTAGTCTTTTTGACCTGAACATATTTATTGTAAGTTGGTTTCCACACATAGACACAGAAGGTCCATAATAAGAATTCACTAAAGGCAATTTCTTTAAAAAATGCCAATGTAATTTACCAAAGAAAAACATGCAGCTGAAACTGTTTGTGTGAAAAAAGATGAACGCCCTCTATTAATGCTAATTGAAATTCTCATATCCACACATGTCATGCATAAAATATACTTCCCACACTTATTCTTTCCACCTCAAAACTGCCGCATAGTTCACACCAAAGTACTCGCTTTTTAATTTGAGCATTTGTGCATGATAATGATGTTTTTCTTATGATTATGTTTACAAATTTAATAAAGTGAAAACTCACGCTTTGCAAAACAGAGCTTTCATTGTTTAAAAAGGGTAAAAACCCAATGTCCTGGCTAAAGTTAGGACTCTGTTTCAAAAGCTGAACTTTATCATTCCCCAATGTTTTCCACTTTAATAACATCCTTTTTAACAAATATGGGCACTAGTGCATGTGGGCAAGAGGGTCCATATTTTAACTCTCATGTGTAAAAAACTGAAGAAAATGAAATGAATAGTATAATTTTCCTATGTCCACAATTACAATGATTTGTCATATATCTGGATTACATACACATGTAAGTTTATTCATATATGTTGGAGATAGTTTTTTGGCAAGTCCCTAAGTACTTTTTAAGGATAATTTATAAAAACTAAGTTAGGAATTTGCCTCAGTCCATCAAATAAAAACCTTGGAATCCTAATTAATTTTAACCTACATATTGTTCTAAATAGAAATAATGCATGATCTTTCCAATAAATAAAAATTGAAATATGTTACTGCCCCTTATCGATTAACCTCAAAAAATGATGACTGTATTTATTTCTCTGGAGGTAAGCAGACATTCCTTCTTGTTCCAATCAGAAGTCAAAACATGCCAAGAACTACTCACCAACAGAGTTTCTGCTGTCAAAATATAAATTGTGGTTAAGAATGTCACAGCTCTCAAAGAACTGTCTTCCCATTATTACTCCGGATGATTCTTGCTTAAAGTTTCAATGGAAGGGTATATTGGGTCAAGTAACCTAACCTGTGGAGAGGTGGGTCAGATACTGTGCCTGAGCTAGGAGATGCTGAGGACTGAGTAGGGAGCAGCTGCGTTTGCTGCTCTTGCATAGTCAGGCTTCTCCTTCCACAAAAAGTGATTCAATGTATTATCTGCATTGCTGGCCAGGGAAAGAACCACTGTCACTCGGGTTGCAGCCTCTCACGCATTACAGAACATTCCACCTAATCTGGCATTCTATCAAAGTAAGAAGTGAAAAGCAATTCCCTCCCT